CAATAACTGTGAAACAAAGGAACAAATCGCACTTGGATTTGTGTGCTCAACATTTTTTCGATTTGTGACATGAGCTTTTAAATGCACATTTATGAAGCGCAGTGCTGCTGCACACTGTGACTCCATGTTGCTTTGAGCACATCATTCTGCACCCGCGATGTTTTTCATGTAATCATGCAAGAACGGGCTCAATCATGGGTTTGCGCACTGAAATATTATTAAAAGCCAATATATTTTGTTATACCTAGCCTGCTCAATACATTTTAAATAAGCATAATTTAATTGTATATAATTTATTTGTAGTTTAGGCTATGCACTTCTGAATTCTTGACAGTAATATATAAATATAAAATTGTGACATGATTGCCTGATTGAATTTTAAAAGAGAACTAATAGTAATTTGTTTTTATTAACATATTTAGATTTTATAAAATTACTGTGCAGATTTTTTCAAGAATTACTTTTTGCTGCTGATGTATACACTCATTAAGTGTATTAAAAATTCATAATACATTTATGTAATATTTAAAGGTGTTAACTGTAATGTTACACTGCAAACTAATAACTTAAAAATGATTAAATTCATCACAATTATGTAAGTATCTGGAAATTTGCTGTGGGGCAAGGACCCTTATATATAATATAATATATATCATTACATACAATGTAATATATATTAGTTGGGCCCTACTAATATCATTAGTAACATTAAATATTACACAATAAACCAAAGTATATCAGTAGGAGTTTCCTTAAGTCTTTCTGATAGTTTTCTACAGGCTGGTTTATTACAACAGTAGAAAAGAATTCTGAAATTATGGTTTATACTGTAGTTTTGGTGTGCCACCCCAAGATTTTAACTGGCCCCATCTGGCCACCCCTACGAAAAATTTCTGGAGGCGCCACTGGTATCAGGCAGTGTTGTTTCGTCCATGAACGAATCTTGTGCATTTGAACGAATCATTTAACGAATCATTCCTTCTCGTATTGTTCAAATTGTCGGTTCGCTGAGGTCTCTGTTTTTGAACGATATAAAAAATAAAAGACTAAAAAAGATTAAATAACAACAACAAAAAAATACGATTATTTGTTTACCTGCATGTCATGTGACCTTTACCCTCCGTGCATTTGAACGAATCATTTAACGAATCATTCCTTCTCGTATTGTTCAAATTGTCGGTTCGCTGAGGTCTGTTTTTGAACAATATAAAAAATAAAAGACTAAAAAAGATTAAATAACAACAACAAAAAAATAAGATTATTTGTTTACCTGCATGTCATGTGACCTTTACCCTCTGTGCTGCGCATTTGAACGAATCATTTAACGAATCATTCCTTCTCGTATTGTTCAAATTTTCGGTTCGCTGAGGTCTCTGTTTTTGAACGATATAAAAAATAAAAGACTAAAAAAGATTAAATAACAACAATAAAAAAATAAGATTATTTGTTTACCTGCATGTCATGTGACCTTTAACCTCAGTGAACATGACGGTATTGAAATATTAAAAATCTAAAATATTAAAAACAACTAAAAAAAATGCAGGTCATATCTATAGAGACAGTATAGGAAATGTTGAGACATTGAGCAAACCCCTAATACATAACCGTCCAGAACTCCATACCAACTCCCAATTTAAACATATGTCTTAAATTAGGGAGTTAATTAATTGCAGAGTTTATTGACAATTAACAGATGATGGGTGTGTGCATGTGTGTGTAGGGTTAAAAGTTTACAGGCATCTGAGCAATTTGGAGACAGCTGAATAAACGCAACTTAGAGGCTGTATTATTCATTGTTGGAGCAAATATTGTTGGGAGCAATCACAAAACCCAATGCTTCTCTTATAGAAAACACCACTGATAAGAGTTCACCCAGAGGCACTTTAATCATATGGACTCATAAATCTTAGAAAAAAGAGGGTGTTTGCATTCTTAAGAAGACATGTGTCAGGTTTGATGCTGTTCGCTCAGCATCAAGCTCACAGCACATCATATAATGTGTCACTTCACATTGTATTTGGCATGTTTTCTCTGAGACTCCCGCAGAGATGTTTAAGGTTTGTTGTGAAGTTTCATTGGGAGCTGGTGACCCTGAGCTGAGCGGATGACCTTTGAACCTAGTGCCTCCAGGATGTTCATTTCCAACAGAAGATGGACTTTAATGTATATGTATATGACAGGTGAACCCTGCCATCTAGTGCATGAATATGGAACAACGACACTCTGAGAGCAAGGCCTGGTAAATCGTCGTTTCTACTCATTCGTGGAACAATTAAAAAAAATAATAAAACAAAACAAGACCCTAAAAGCAGATCTATGCTATTCAATCCAAGTTTAATGCTAAAAAATAATAGATTTTCTTTCGAAGTTATATAGTTATGGTTGATTTGGATTATTATAAATCACCAAACAATTTAGAAATTGTCTGAAACATATACACTAATGGTTATTGACAAGTATAAGGGGAGGCCAGGGTTAGTGTTTACTTCAGTGAATATTTCTCTTTTATAAAAGTCAGTTTTTATGTTGCAGAGGAAATGCATATTGAATTTATTTTGTAACACTAAATGCACAGAGACGCCACTATAAGAAGCTGATGTTTATTGACACTAACTTGAGAAAAATATTATTTTTGAAATCTAAAAAATAAATCAAATAAAACAGCTAACAAAAAAAATCACAATGTGTGTTTTTTAAATACATTATTGGCTCAGCAAAAATGTATTCAACAATTATGAAACACAATTCATGATTTAGCAAAAACTAGTAAAAATGTCATTGGAATTATAATTAATTAGCTGTCAATGTACAGTATATAGCAAAAGTACACATTAGTTAAAATATAAACGTCAAGGTTAACATCTGCAAACCTCTTCAGAAAAGACTTTTATTCTCAAATAATTTTGCAGTCTCATAATACAATGCAATATCCGATTCTTATCAGTATCATTTTCATAACTCCTTCAAATCTTCCCTTGGGGCTAATATTTTTAGAGAGCAAAACTGTAATTTTTCCAGTAAATACAATTCAACCGTTGAGAGAGTAGATGAAAGTGCAAATAAATCATATTCAATATTCAGCACATTCCCATCCATCTCAAATAAAAGGCAACACGTACAACATTTCAGTTTTCACCAGGGGGACGATTATCAGTTACGAACGGGGAAAAAAATGACACAATATGAGTTTAACGATACAGTTGAGGCTCTAAGAAAATAATGCGATTTTTAATTTTAGAAAATATTTTTATTTCAGTCTTTAGACTAAGAATGCACACTAGTGCCAAGTTATCTTTGGAATTTAAAAGAAAATAATTAACTTGTCACTTTTATTACGAATAAATCTGTCCCACAAATTAGGTCACATGACATCTTCAGAGCCAATCACATGGCTCAATTCCAATGTGACATGGCACTTGTATCTTGTTGTATTGTTTTAGTCTATTTCATATATAAATATTCATAAATGAGTTGCAGATGCTCAGTTAACTTGCTCTCGAAAGTTCACACTTTTGACCATTCCAATATGGCGGGCGGCTGATGTAAAGAGGCCAATAGAAACAGCTATCAATGAGGAATCTATGTATATATTTATATCTACTGGAATGATGCTGCGTTCACAGCATGTCTTACTTACCACAACTATGAGAGGACAACTTGACGTTGTTCACGTTATCGGAGTGGGAAGTATCAGAGCTAGACATTCTCTGGAAGTATACATTTCTTTGGCAGCACTATCAACGGTTAACTGAAGCAGCGGTCAGGTGACACAGCGGGTCATGTGGTAAAAGTAGTAGCCTAGCTAATCGAATTTCCCAGCTTACAAATATGAATTTGCAATTAATAAGTAAGTAATTACGAGCTCTACGAGGACGCTTTTTGCAAGTTGAAATCACGTAAAATTACGTAAGTAAAAGTAATTTTACAACATGAATGCCGCGCGCCTTGGATTAAAGGGATAGTTCACTTTGAAATTAATTGTTGATATCTTTTACCTTACCTCAAGGGCATCCAATATGTCTTTGTTTCCACAGCATTTTCAAATTTGACATTTTTTGGTCAAACCGTTGTTGTCGGTCAGTCATACACTGGAAGTGAAGGGGGTCCTCAATCGGTTCACCTCAAAGAACATGCACAGAGTTAAGTCAAAATGAAACATGATTTAATGACTCGTAAATGTAAGTACACACTGATGGCCTAGCGGTTTGTGTGAGAAAACTAACAGTATTTATAATTTATATCGTTTTTACCTCTTGTTAACAGCCGTCGAACAAAATCAGATGTCCAACTGAACCGTCTTCAGACGTTACGCCGGAAGTGATCTCTCGCCCGTCTACGTCACGCTCACGCATTGTTTACACGGAGATTTCCGAAGTTTTACCTTATACTAAACATATTTAGATATACGGGAAATCGCAATGCAAGACGATTTCGATATTTCTAAATATGTTAGATATAACATATTTATATCTAAATATGTACCGCTCGTTTCGTGTCCTAAATACCGCTCGTTTCGTGTCCTAGGCCATCAGTGTGTACTTTTACAAGTCATTAAATCATGTTTAATTTTGACTTCTCTGTGCATGCTCTTTGAGGTGAACCGAGGGAGGACCCCCTTCACCTCCAGTGTATGACTGACGGACAACAACGGTTTGACCAAAAAATGTCAAAATTGAAAATGCTGTGGAAACAAAGACATCTTGATGCCCTTGAGGTAAGCTAAAATATATCAAAAATTAATTTCAAAGTGAACTATCCCTTTAAAGGTCCCCTGGCATGGGTTTTTTGTATTATTTTATAATGTTTGCACCGATTGAAAAATTGCAAAAATTGACACGAGGGGACCAAATACAGTCTATGGGAACTCATATTAATGTTAAAAACCTCTGAAAATGAAAATTTCATGTCAGGGGACCTTTAATGGAGCACAAGTAGTTCATGATCTTGGCATCTCTTTACACAACTTTATATTGTTCCATGTCTCTCTCTCTCTCTCTCTCTTTTTTTTTTTTACTCTAATACAATTATAGTAAAGAAGTGCAAATATAGGGAGAGTATGTTGTTGGAAAACACAGAGCAGCCCAGGGCATGTACAGAAATCTGTGGAGATACAGCTCAAACCACATGAAACTGTTCGTCTGTTACTCATCAGATGGAAATGTACAGTGTCATAGTCCAACATGGATCTATTCTTTGTTAAACCACATACAGGTTTAAGCCACCCTCCCCTTGTCAATAAAATAAATGCATAAATACAGGTTAGGATCTGCCATAATAATGTAAACAAATACATATGCATTAAAAAAAGATGTGCAATATCAGATTGTCTGATGATTTAAGTAATATTACAATTAAATCATTTATACAAAAATATATTGTTTATAAAAAAAAATGTTTACATATATTACTAAGAAAGGGAATAAAAGTGTCTTCCATTCCACAATTTTACATTCCCCATGGAGGTTCTGTGACGGGTGAGAGCTTCAAATGTTTCTGTGTCTTTCTTCGTTCTTCTATCCTTTCATTTTTCCTTTTATCTGTCAAGATAAAACCATATCATGTTCAAGTTCAATAATGTAGGCACCATATAAGTCAAAATCTGCTAATGGAACAACAGTTTTAAAAGTGAACAGGATTTGCATTTTCATGGGCTTAAAAGATTAGCATACTTTGTGCAATATTATTATTATAGTTCTTAAATGATATATTTATATTGACTTTCATTGCCTTAGTTTTAATTCTACATCCTAAAAGCAAGGATTATTTTATGTACAGCGGTTGTGTCAGTGGTCAGTTTCTGGCTGAGAGCTCATACGTGCGTCAAGTTTCTAACAGTGCTTCAAATGTTCATGTCTGGTTTGACTAAGATTCGAAATCAATAACAGAGGAGCTTCAGGGTGGTATTCTTCTCAGAGAAGAGCTGCAAAATGACACTGGAGCCAAAGCGGAACAAATAGAGTGCAGAGGTGGATGCTTACGAGTATTTATTCAACATTTCTGTAAGCTAAACCAAATTATAATCCATGTTTGTCTTTTTGAAGGGGACATAATAAAGGCATCATAAAACTGGAGTAAACAGTTATTATGGCCTAAGGAATGGGGTCTGTGGTCTGGAAAACACCACGGCCTGGCAAGAACATCACATTCTCCATCGTTTTTCTTGTTTTCCCCTTGGTTCTCTTTCAGTCTGTCATATGTTGTTATTCAATATTGCCCAACTTTGCCCTGCTTTTTACTTGCTGTGATTAAAGCTTCCTATCTTTTTCATTTTCTCCACTTATATGCGCACACAAAGCACTAAAAGCCCATGTTTACTGCCCTGCATCATCTGGTTTAGGCCCACAGTGGCACCACTGCACCCTTTAATCCCAAAACCAACATAAATCTCCAGGTTCAGATCAGAGGTTTGCACTTAATGATTTAGGCAGGTAAGCTCGGGTCACCTGTAGGGTGTCCTGGAAGAAAACACTGGCAAATCTTCTGCTGTGATCCGTTCGGAGATGTGCAGCCTGACTTTCATTAGCTCTCAAGAGTCACAAAAGAAAAGGAGATTTGAGAAGAAAGGAAATGATCTTCTGTTAATCTAGAGGACTAAATTAATTCATCGGGTTCTCATTGGTCACACCATGAGTGAGTCTTTGAGGTGACGACTTCAGCGATAAACGGCACTGACTGGAGAACATCTGGGGTGGATAATAACAGTAAAATACTTGTTACTGTATTTGAGTTGACTTTCTGTTGAATTCTGCTTTACTAATATTTATCTCTTATATTATATTATTCCAAATTTTGCAGTCTTTTTATGTTTTCTCTTATGCTCACCAAGGCTGCATTTATTCAATCAAATATAAAATAATAACACTAATGTGAATGTATAGTGAAGTGTAATTAATTCCTGTGATCTAATATGATCTAATATAATACTTTATGATTATTATCAATGTTGATAACAGTTGTGCTGCTTAATATGTTTTTATCAGGATTTTTTGACTCATCTTTTAAAACACTGTAAATGCCTTTAATGTAATTTTTTGTCAATTTGACGCATCCATGCAGAATAGCAATATTAATATCTTTTTTTTTTTAAAGTACTGACCCCAAACATTTGACATTTAACATTATAATATAATTTACAAAAACATAAAATATAATTAATATAATATAAAAAGTATCATTTTGCAATATAATTAAAAAATATATTATTAAAATGTTGTTTTGCATCACACTACGACGTATATATAATATTAATAATGTCATTTTTCATTATTAATCCAATTAAAATATTTTCATCTGCACAAATGATTTCCATCAAACTAGAAATTTACTATTAAGTTGAGTGCATTGCATTGCATTTTTGTACAACTGGCCTATGCTTGCTCAATGGCTGAATACCCATAATGCACTGAGAGACACAGTTGCCGAATAAATTGCCACATCTGGCCAGAAGATGGCGCCCGCAGCTGAATCATCCATCTATCCATTTTCCAAACCGCTGGTCCAATGTGGGTACAGCGTAATATTATTCAGGTATAAATTCCTTTTTGATTTATTATTATATAGTTCAATAATGTTTATACATTGTTTTCATTGACCGAAGATAGATATTTTCATTACTGAAGCTGCCAGTTTGCTATAAGTTTCAAATGATTATTAAATAGCAAGCACAAACGCACATAAGCGGCATCCCTTCCGGAGCACTCTGAACAAATTCACTCACTCATTTTCAATGGTGACAAAAATGGTTGTGCTTCCCTTCGTTACGCATGACTTCTTTTACTTTTAGGCTATCTGTATATTTATTAGACACGCCAATTCTCTGTCTGGGTCCATGGACTTTTATTTTGATATTCTTTTGTCTTAGTTCCTGTGTTTAGTTCCTGTTTCACTTGGTTGCCGTTGTCATTCATTGTATCATTGTCTAATTGACTAGAGACTCACTTATCTCCCACTACCACTATGTATTAGCTTCTTGTCTTGTGTGACACCCGGAGTCAAAAAATGGAATTACAACAGACATTCAAACACAACACAATGGCTCTGACAGGATACAAAACACAGTTTCCCAAATATGGTAAAGGAAAAGGGACTCAACTCTTTTAAGTTACAGTGATTGGATCTTGTGTTTAGTGTAATGTGTAAATCATTGGGGAGAAACGATACAAGAAAGACGATATAGAGAAGCTCGATGTGGAAACGAGAGGATTTAAAGAGGATCGCTGTGCTTTTATAAATGTCACATTGGGTTTATGTCAGCTATTGAAAGAAATTCTGCAACTGGCATGAACAATGCTAAAAATATCATTTACCTTTTGGACACCTTTTCTTCATCCGGCACTTTCTGCTCTCGGTCTGAGGTGGACATAGCGCTTCTGTCTCTTCAGGCGTTTTGCTTGACAGCTCATGGGTCCTGATCTGCTGCCCCCATCTGACGCCACAGCTCAGGCCACTGTGCTGACACGGGCTCCATTCACCCCAGACGCCAAACACACGGAGCACACATCCTTCTGGAGTCCAAAGAGATCAAGAATACTGAATCATAAAAGCAAACTGCATTATTAATCTTTACTTACTCTGCAAAATATGAGCTATTCCTGATCTGATGAGGTCTGCAACATCGACATTTTATTGAACTGAAGTGGCACCTGTCTTTCATTATTTTCGTCTTGTCGGTTAGCGTTTAATCTTACGTGAGTTCCTGTGTTTGCTGGGTTAGAAACAATCTGTATTTTATAAAGTGCTATATAATGAAATGCGACTTGACTTTATCCTTTTTTATCAAAGCTACTGTGTCAGTAAGTTTTTGCACAACATCAAATTAATGGCATGTGAATACACTAGTAAATGCAACCAGAAATCCCAAATTTGCTGGTTTTTAATTGCCACACAGAAAAAACATCTTGATGTAATTGTTCCTCGTAAAACATGACTGATGGGTTTCTTTCAGTATGGTAATGAGAATTTAATGGCACAGACCCATAAAGAAGGTCTGTAAATGAGTAAAGCTCTTACCCACACAGTCTGTGGACTGAGGAAATGTGCCCTCTGGACAGCTTTTGAAGCATTTGCCTTTAAAGAGCAGAAATCCTCCCTTGCACTTGGTGCAAAAGTCCTTGTTGAAGCATCTCTCGCACTCTGGAGCTTTGCATTCTGGGAGATATATGAGGATTACAGTCATGGTTTTGTTACAGGCTTTCTCAAGATATTAAGTTAAGAGATGAATGGCACCAAAAAGAAACAGGAAGGAAGGAAGTTAAGAGATGAATGCCACCAAAAAAGAAACAGACAGGAAGAAAGGAAGGAAGGAAGCAAGGAGGGAAGGAATGAAGGAAGGAAGGAAGTTAAGAGATTAATGGCACACAAAAAGAAACAGACAGCAAGGAAGGAAGAAAGAAAGAAAGAAAGGAAGGAAGGAAGGAAGGCAGGAAGTTAAGAGATGAATGGCACCAAAAAGAAACAGGAAGGAAGGAAGAAAGAAAAAAAAGAAAGAAAGGAAGGAAGTTAAGAGATGAATGGCACCAAAAAGAAACAGGAAGGAAGGAAGGAAGGAAGGAAGGAAGGAAGTTAAGAGATGAATGCCACAAAAAAGAAACAGACAGAAAGGAAGGAAGGATTATTATTATTACCCACATAATTATTTTTTAAAATATTAATTTGAAATAAACAAACAAATAATTAAAAAAAAAGTCTGATTTAATATCAAGGACCTATTTTAAAAAATATATTATGATTAATAAATAAAATATAGACCTAAAATATTCATTGTAAACAAACAAACAAAATTCCAAAGAAATAAACAAACAGACAAATAAACAAATAACTATATTGTAAAAAAAAATATGATTGAATATTAAGGACATAATTAAACACATTATTATTATTGTTGTTGTTATTATTAAAAAGAAACATAAACAATTTTATTATATGATATAAATATATTATTGTAGAACTATATGATTAATTATAAAGGACATCTACATTTAAAAACATTACTATTATTATTTACTAACTTTCTGGTGCAGACACGTTTTACTGTATAAATTCATCCCACACAATATGTTTTATAAATATTAGAATTTTAAATAACTATAAATAAGTCAATAATAAAGAAATTCAAACTTTTGGACTTTTAGATATTCCTGTACACTGATTTGGACTCACTCATGCAGCGGTTGAGATCTTTGGCGCGGAGGCCGAAGTGTCCAGACGGGCAGGAGTGGAGACAGGAGCCGTGGTGACTCATGCCGTCTCGGTTCAGGAACAGGAAGAGCCGCTCCGAGCAGCGCAGGCAGCCATTTTCCTTCGAACACTCCAGACAGCTCCTGCACTCCTGTCGCCAGCTCTCTGAAAAAAAAAAAAAAACAGTTCAAATGATTTATTAGTAAATGTAGCATCGCAAGGGGACGTGTCTCGGACTTTGCATTGGGATTAATGTGCAATTCTCTGACACGTTACACCGTCTGCGCTGATATTTTGGGCTTTGAGGTGACGTTAAACTGAAGGTCATAAACACGCATGTCATCTCTTTGGCTGCTTGAAAAGGGCCGGGGTTTTTTCTATCACCTAAAAACTCATAAAAGTATTTTGCAGCTTGCATTTTGTCGGGGCAGTACATATTTTAATTTTGACGTGTGAATTGCCATGGTTCACTGTAAAAAAAAAAAGTTAACTGCTATTTACTTAAATAAATTGATTTCTTTTCTTTTTTCTTTCATGGAATCTACCTCAATAAATCATGTACAATCCCCTTATTTAGTCTATGATACAATGAATTTAATATTTTTCAAACTTTTAGACAATGAATACAATGAATTTTCTATTTTTCAAACTTTTTCAAACACAATCAAACTTATCCAAGTTTTTACTCAATGCACAAAGCAAGATGCTTTATTATGTCAATACATGTAGGTATTCACAACATTACTACCCCCTTAGAAGAGTTTCTGCACAATGGTAATGATCAAAACTTCAACATATAGAAACTCTTTCAAAAGTCAAATATAACTGAACACATAAAATAACACTTACTTTCAATATCCTCTCCATTACCAGCCATGTGCAAAGCATGCTGGGAACTAACAATGGTGTCTCTAAATAAAACCGCATAATTGAGCTAATTCTCTTAAAATAAATTGGCCCCTTTTCCTTAATTTTATCAAATCCTCAATTCAAGCCTCAAAATTGTGTATGTTTCCTTAAAAAAAATTATGAAAATATTTTTTTTGGTGAAATGTTCTCAATATTTTCTATTCAACACTGAACCACAATTTTTTTAATAAAATATACACAATATTTTTAATAAAAAAAAAATGAAAATTACAAGGCCCATGATTCATTTTTGGTTTGTGTGTCATTGAAATCAATAGTCATTTCATAGTCATTTTCAATTTATTTATTGGAACAAAAAAAAAAAAAAAATACATTTTTGGATTTTTCTATCATTAAAACCATGGTTAAACCCATTAAGGATGAGAAACAACAATTGGACAAGTGGTCAAAGGTCGTGGCCAGTGAACAAAGTTACTGGTTCAATCCCTTTGAAGAAAGTGATATAAGCCTTCATCATCCCTTGAGCAAAGCACTTAACCCTGCACTGCTCCTGGAGTAATTCTACTGTATAAAAGCATCTATAACCATATACTCTCTCTCTCTCTCTCTTCGCAAAATGTGTTTTTAGTGCATGCATGTTCACATCCGCCTAATGCCAAAGCCAGAGACTGAGATTGCAGGCTCTTGTCAGTGTGTTGTGTCACACTGAGCCACTAGAGAGGGTTCGCAGGGGGGGAGATGCATGTGAGGAGAGTGGCAGATGGTTCTTATCTTCATGTCCTTCATTAGAGAAATAAAGAGAGACACCACTGTCTAAAAAGATGTTGGTGAGCCAAGCCGAGACGCATCTGCTGCATTCTCATCATTGTATCCTTCTTTATTTTGTGCATGGATGTCAATCAAATGAAATTGAGAAAATATGGGAGAAAATACAAGTAAGAAATGAAGGCCAGATACTTCTAGAATGCTTATGGAGAAGTAAATGTGCTCTTAAATAGTTGAGGAAATGTGCAATGCTTAATGTAGAGGCTCATAAAATCAATCTAAAGCTTTGTGACTATTCTGGAAAATCAGTGGTAAATCAGCTGATATTACTGCCGTACATCAACGTTTATTACCAAACGGTCTGTATTTCAGTCATGTTCTGCAGAAAATAAGCACATAAAAATGAACCCACGTCATGGATAAGACATCAGCTGCAAAATATGTGCTATATAAAATACTATATAAAACAATTCAATAAAATAAAATAATAACAAACGGAGCAATTCCAAGAGGGTCCTCGCACCATCGGTGCTTGGACCCTAATTAGTCAGATGGAAATGTTCTTTTTGTTTAAAGATCAAGTTTCAGACTTTCATTGTAGCATGGTTCATGATGGGAAATGTGTGGATGTTTAATTCTAACATTTGGAAAAGTGGATTATTTACAGTAACACATCAAAATCAGCTCTATAGCAAAAATATTTAACAATGATATCATATTATGTAAACTATCCACTACACCAAAAAAAAAAAACCTTGGTCTAAAGGCACTGCAAAGAAAATATTTGTCTTTAAAGTTTTTTTTAGCAATGTTGCAGATTTATGTATAATGACTAGCATGCTGTATCAAAAGTATTTTCATATGGTGAAGTTTGCACAATCACTCACTATTGCCATATCTCCCAGAGGGCCTAAACATCTTTTCCTTTTGCACACAATAGGGTTGAACTCTTAATATTAAATAAAACCTATTTTGAATTGTTATACTGTTGGGATCATACAAATCAGATAGTAGCAATTGTTTAAATAAAGATTCTGATTAGCTGGAAAACTATATTTTTACCCTGCAGAATGAGAGACATATCGTAGAAACAAGGGTGTCTTTTAAGGAAAGTCTTAACTCTTTAACAACATCATAGTAACCACCCACGATTTTTTACAGACATGCACAGTCATTTTCTTCAGTAAAAAGTACTCGTGGCAAGCAGAGCCACGGGAATTATGTTAATGAGCGTCACCCGCCCACCACACCGGCCTCGAGTCCCACGGAGGAGCTCCGGAAGGGACGACAGTGAAGGATAAGAGAGGACCAGACCTGGACTTTATGTTTTTTGTTTTAGTTTATGCAGCAGTCGTCAGTGATGGGCTGCCGCTTTACTTTCATTTTGTTGTTTATGTTTCTTTTATGGTTAAAGTACTTCTCCCCCTCATCAACAAAGCTTGTTACAGGACTATTAGCTATTAGTAAGATTGTTTCCATGTTACAATAACAAAAAAAATCACATCAGTAATGTATGAGAGAAATCTACTGTATATAGCAGCATTTAACTGATAAGACACTCATCTATATCACATACAGTATTTTGACTCATAAACACAGCGCTATCAACTCCATTCAGCTGTTAGACCCGTGCCTCCCAATTGGACACATCCCATATAAATGAAGGATTTAAAATCACAAACCCTAACAAAACATCTCAGGGAGTTCTAAAGCTAATCTATAATGCGTATTCAGTAGGTTATTCAGTTATTTCTTTCTTATACATTGAAATTACTGCTACAAATAAATTACCATGGCACATGAATTGCACTACCAACACTGAAAAAAAAGTTAAATTTACCTAAAGGGATACTCCACTTTTTTTGGAAATAGGCTCATTTTACAACTCCCCCAGAGTTAAACAGTTGAGTTTTACTGTTTTCAAATCCATTCAGCCAATTTTCTGATATTTAGAAGAATATCAGTAACCAATTTCTGGTCTCATTGACTTCCATAGTAGGAAAAAATATATATACTATGGAAATCAATGAGACCAGAAAGTGTCTGGTTACTGATATTCTTCTAAATATCAGAAAATCGTCTGAATATATTCGAAAACAGTAAAACCCAACTGTTTAACTCTGGGGGAGTGGTAAAATGAGCCTATTTTCAAAATAAGTGGAGTATCCCTTTAATTTTTCTTTTGAAAGATTTTGCACCCATATTTAAGTTCATTTCACATATGGCAATACGTTAAATCTACTTAGCTAAGTTAAGTACAATTAAAAAGGAAATAAGTTACTAACTTAGCCAGTTAAAGTTCAATAACGGTGATATTCATTAGACCATTCATTAGATTGATTAAGTATGAATGTGACATTTTGAGTAGAATGAACTCCAGATGCCACAAAACAACAAGTTACTAAACCTAACAACAAAACCAATGATACAACAGTGTAAACATAGCTTGAAAACAGTGAAAAGTGCAACCTTGTTCATTATTAATGCCCCAGTGCATGATGGGAACACCAGTATCAGAAAGTTGAGTTTTTTTAACATTGAAATCTACATCTTAATTTCTACAAGATTAATTAGCGCTAGAATGTCCTTTGTTTTTTGTCGTAATTTTTCTTCACCACAGAATCATTTTTTATCAGTGAAGGTACTTCCAAGAATAGCCTACTATTATGCATTATTTTATAAGCAGATGTGAAATAGAAATGATCAATTGATAAAAGTTGTCTTACCACTTCTTTTCCCCGCTGCTACCGGCAGTATAAGCGTCTGACAAAACAGCGAGAGGAGAGCCAAATGTTGCCAATGCATCTCGACAAGGAACAGGTTCTGTAACATCTGTCTGAAAGACTGCCTCTGAGAGAGAAACTCATCGCTAACAGCATGATGCTCACCCTGCCCACATCACCTGATCTCCACAAACATCTGTCCAATTTACTTTTCAGCTGTTGAGTAATTGTGCTCGTTTCAGGATGTTGTTTCGCGTGTATTCCACCTTTAATTTCACATACCTGAGGCAAAACTCAACTTTTGACCTTTCCGTCTAACCATAATCCTTAGCCCAACTATTTCATCCCTCTGTATTTAGACAGTTTAGTCGTTTTAGGTTTATATTTCCAAACACATTGGGAGATATATTGTAGTTTGCTGTGGTTTTGGTGGCCTGGATCATGCAGATATCTTTCCCGTTCTCTATCATTAAAAATCTGTGGTGGGAAAAAGTGAGCTTATATATATATATATATATATATATGGACCTGTCTTAACTTACAGAAAATGTACCACAAAAAACAAACGCAGGAATTAGACTGAAAATGACCAGATATAGACTCAGTGAAAACAACTTTCGAGGGTAATTAGGCTACTCTTGCTTCCAAATTGGCAAGAGGGCTGTTTACAACACATTTTAAAATTCCATTAGTACGCAGTTAGATCTTTCTTTAGGTTTTCTCCCTCCTGCTGCGTCCATTTCCAGTGCATTGCCTTTTTTAAATCAAACCTAAAAAATCTACATTCATTTAACGTCACCATATCAATAATACACTCTAAAAAATGCTGGGTTGTTTTAACCCAACTTTGGGTCAAATATGGACTAACCCAGCCGTTGGGTTAAATTTTTACATTACATTTTTAACCCAACATTTCGGGTTTGTCCATATTTGACCCAAAATTGGGTTAAAACAACCCAGCATTTTTTAGAGTGTACAAGAGGGTAATTTGAAGAATACCATGGATTTCATTAAAAAAGTTTATATAACTTACAAAAAATACCAAAAGTTATCATGTTTTTTTTTTTTTTTTTTTTTTTTTTTGGTAACGCTTCCTTTTACAGTACAGTACTTACGTGTACTTACAGTGTACTTACCTAGAAAGTATTGGCTAATATAAGGTAAGTATGGGTTAGGGGTAGGTTCAGGGTTAGTACCTAGTTATTACCCAGTAATTACTATAGTAAGTACATATGTACAGAGTCCATTTTTTTGGACATGGTATCATGGGACTACTATGGTAAAGGAATACCATAGTATTTTGAAATATACCATGAAACAAATCATAATATGTAATCGTAATGTATGTATTTTTTTATGTTTCTCCAAGGTATGACCACAAAAATACCACACTCTAAAAATGCTGGGTTGTTTTAACCCAACTTTAGGTCAAATATGGACAAACCCAAACATTGGGTTAAAAATGTAATTAAAAGAATGTAACCCAATGGTTGAGTTTGAAAACAACCCAACAATTTTCAGAGTACATGGTAATATCATGACATTCATCCAAAAAACATGATATTACAGTCTAAAAAATGCTGGGTTGTTTGAACCCAAATGTTGGGTTAAAAATGTCCTTCAACTTTCACTTTTAACGGTACATTTTTTATGACATTTTTAACCCAACATTTGGGTTTGTCCATATTTGACCCAAATTTGGGTTAAAACAACCCAGCATTTTTTAGAGTGTACCTTGGTACTTGACAAAATCACATGATAGCACTTACAAAATAAGTACCAAACAGTATTATGGTATCTATATGGTATTTGGGATATGTTACCATGGGAAGGGGGGTACACTCTAAAAAATGCTGGGTTGTTTTAACCCAATGTGGGTCGAATATGGACAAACTCAAACATTGGGGTAAAAACGTAATTTAAAAATGTAACCCAATGGCTTGGTTTGTCCATATTTGACCCAAAATTGGGTTGAAACAACCCAGCATTTTTTAGAGTGTACTATAGTATAATGAAATGAAATACAGCATGGTCTATGGTATTTTGTATGGTACTCCAATACCCTCCAATACACCGAAAAAAGAACTGGTTCGGAACTGGTGCTGGTTCAAAGTTGGTTCGGAGTTGGTTCAACTTGCGAACCCGTTCAGAACCTGTTTGTTTTTCCACTGACTAGAGCGCCCAGGGAACGACGTTGTTATGTCACTGTGCACGTCGCTAGAAACGCTTGCAACTAGATTGCTTTGGGATTATCTTTAAAAACAATTGAAATATGTAAGTCTTTTAATCTTTTCGTTTGATAAGTAATCTTTTCTGATAAGTTATGTACCCCTGTCTTGTGTCTTTTTTCTTTCCATTTATTTGTTATATATCATGACTGTTTTCTTCTTTGCTTATGTTTCAAATAAAAAATAAAATAAAAATAAAAACGCTTGCGTGTTTCTGCAGTTTCTCCTGGCTTTGCGATGGTCAGAAAATATGTTTAGAACACATCTAAACCCACCCCAGCCCCCGATGTAAACATGAGGTGCTAAAAGAACGGTTCTAGTCCAGCAAAGAGTTGGTGCCGCTTTGGAACCAGTTTTCCCGGCCGCGAACCGGTTCTTTGGCTGTTGAAACACAAAGAACTGGTTTACGCGCAGGCGCAGGCACCGACTCCGAACCGGCTCTCAAAATGCTTTGGTGGAAAAGGGGCTCAAGAGGGCATTTCCAAAAACACTACCATGGTACATTTCCAAAACCATAGTAGAACCATAGTAGTGTTTTGGTACTTTTGATGTATTTTGCATGCCTAACTTAATATGGTAATCACTCAGTACCATGGTATATTCAAAGCAACATTTATCAAACATAATTATCCTTTCAAACAATAACTGTGTCCGATGGACCCATTCAGATATTACTCTACAATGCTATTGAAGCCTACAGCTTCTCTGGGGGACTTACAGTAACTGAATTGTATGACAGCGACTGAAATCATCTTACACACCGGATGTCCTGTAACAGCTTGTGGTTGTCTACACCGGACGCTACGAAGCGACCGTCACAAATCCATTTGTTCTCCAGTCAGAAGTAGCCCAGGGCATCAGTTTACTTACGGCCACGCCACATCCAGTGTAGACAGCATTGCTGATTATAATGGTTTCCGTTTGCTTTTGTCATGTCGCACCGTTCTCGTTTGCTTGTACACATGTCAAAGACCCAGAGCTGAGGTGTGCAGCTCCAGTAAGGTTGTGAACTCTTGAATTGGCTCTCTGTGACTGGGTTTGATAAGCGGGCTGGAAGTGCATGGAGGGGGGATAGGCACCGTTGCACTCATGACATCCAACTAAATACACACCAGATGCAGCGGGGAAGACACTGGCCGTTCTGAGGCACGCCATGAGGCAGTGACACCACACGTCTCTGTTGCACTCTCTTCCAATCAGTGTAACACCACTGGATTCAAAGCGTGCCGTCAGCCCTGGTCTGTTGTGATGTCGGGGAGCCCACTTCCCTGCTGGTTCTCGTTTGTTGGATTGTCTCACTCTCTGGTTTCCTTTGAGGCGGTTATGGATGTAGTGAGAGGGGCAGTTCCTCTCCACGGACTTGAAGTACTCAATCTTATCAGAAGATAAAGACATGCAGACTTCCAGATACATAACAGATATTACATCTACTGTTGTTTTTCATCCCTGCTACGGCAGATATTTCTTCACATTTTATCAAACCTTTTATTCGGTGTAAGGAGTCAAATCGCTTCTCCTTTCAGCATTTACTTTGACAGAGATGTTTTATACAGGACTGCTGTAAAGCATGCTTTATATTAGCAGGAAAGTTCATGCAGAAATTAAAATCGTGCCATTTTTTACTCACCCTCATGTCGTTCCAATTCATGAAACAAAATAAGATGTTTTGGAGAAATACGCAGCTCTTTTCCATAAAATGAGAGCATTTTGTGTCCTTGGCTTGTCAAGCTAATAAAAAGACAAAACACAAAACATAGAAATGTTATACGAGATGAATATGAAGATGAGGGAGAGTCCAAAAAGATTTCAATACAAAAAAGGCTTCTTTAATGAAAACAAACTCACACACGAGATGAAGGCAAAGTAACAGTGTGTCTACACACAAACGCAAACAACAACTGACAACTGAACGGTGAAATAGAGCAACAACACACTGATTATGAGATGATAACAAACAGGTGAGATTAGATGAGTGTCCATTATATCTAGGGGACAACGATATGCTTAAAACTGAGACGTTTTTCCTTTGAGTTTTCTACAGACAAACAACAGCCTTTTCAAAACTTCTCGTTGTCGTGTAAAACATACCCTGGAGCAGAAAAACAGAAACTAAGAAACTATGAAACTTAACACGTGTGACAAGTTACATACAAGTGAAACCAAGAGAGATTTTATATGCATAAACATCACTATTTCAATGGGGGAAAATTATAATTTAATATATATATTTTCTATATTTTCTTGAATCCAAAAAGTTGTGAAAATAAAAGATTTTAATATAGTTTTCCAACATTTATTTAGAAAAAAATTGTTTAGATAAATGCATAATTTTGACTTTACAGTGTAGACCTATATGCAAAATCCCCAACTTTTTAAATTTAAATTCAAAATACATCTTTAATATTTCTTTTTTTCTCCAAAAAAAAAAAAAGAAGGTACTGCTACTGACATTTAAAGCAAACAGTTTCATTTAACACTGACCTGCACCTTTCACCTGGAACCATTCATCATCTGATGCACACACATGATGATGACTGACACACACTTGTCCGCAGGACGTGTAGAATGTATGGAATGAATGAAACACAGACTTCTTCAAAATTCCACAGATGGAATGTGGGAGCGAGTTTTCAAATATCTATAGTGTAGAATTATGTTTTAAATTATTTTTTTTTATGAAAGGAGTAGTTTACTTTAAAAAACAAACAAACAAAAAAACAGATAATTTACTCACCCTCACCCAAAATGAACGAATATTTTTCGAGTCATTTGGTTCAACGAATTGACTCGGAAAAAGATTTGCTCATTTTGATGAACGATTTCGAACAGGAGAGTCACGAACGCGCATCACAGAACAGAGCAAGGCGACCATTTTTGCTTTAAAACATTAACTTTGTTATATTTTTTTAAATGAGCGATCGTTTCGCTTGATACGACCGTTATTCATCGTCTGGAATCGTTTGGAATCGTCTGGAAAGTGTCTTTTGGACCTTGAACCGTTTGGTTACGAGTAAAGTCTATTATATGGAAAAAAATCCTGGAATGTTTTCATCAAAATCCTTAATTTTTTTCGACTGAAGAAAGAATGACATGGACATCTTGGATGACATGGGGGTGAGTAAAGTATCAGCAACTACTCCTTTAATGTCTGTGAGAGGGGATTATAAAATCATTCAGCGATGTGAGTTGATTGACATGTGAAAGAGATGTATGTTTTGGTCTAGCAGTGTCTGTCTGTAAAAGAGAAAGATACAAAGTGGAGACTCGCTCTGAGGTGCAGAGAAAATGAGTTCAAGTGCTTACAGACTTTAGCTCACATCTATAAAGTAGCAGGGCATCCCAAACAAGGACCATATGCTCCACCCAGACTGTGTGTGTAATGTGCTCAACAGGACAAGAGCGGCCAAAGCACGCTAACAATCATAAAGCACGCTAGCAATCATCTGCAACACTTCACTCTAAGGTGACGTAGTTACACTCTACTATATGCATACTTATATGGTAAATTATAACTAACCCAAAACCAAACCCCACACTCTAAAAAATTATGTGGAAGAATTTTACTTAAAATTAACAAGAAAACCTTTTTTACATGTATTTAAATATTTGAGTTCACGCAACATTCTTTACTAAAAAATATATGCATCGCGTTACATAAATATTTGAGTTCACGTAACATTCTTAACTTAAAAATATAAGTAAATTCAGTTTAAAAGTTAATTTCTTGACCAAAAATGCAATAAACGATCGAGCGTACCTTAAGTAAAAAAAAAAAAAAAAAAAGTTAAGCTTCCTTTTTTTTTTTTTTAAAAAAAAAGGCTCCAATTTTTGGCTGGAAAGGCATCACAGAAAACAAATGTATCGCAAATGTAATGCTCGATTTACTTAATTTCATAGCAATTATTATAGTGGTTGACATGATGTTTTTTCATTTTATTTTTATTTATTTTGGTTGTTCAGTTTTGGAGTGTAACCAACTCTATAGTAAGTACAGTACATGTAGTTTATTAATATTACTCAATACTTATTTTGAGTAAATACAGTTGTGGTCAGAATTATTGGCACCACTAGTAAATATGATCAAAGATGGCTGTAAAAAAAAATCATTTTTTATCCTTTTAATCTTTCATTCAAAAAATTAATTAACCTAACCTCAAAAAAATAAAAAATAAATAAAGTGGGGGGTAGATCACATTATGTTGGCCAAAATGATTGGCACCCCTTTACTAAATATTTTTCTTTTAGAAGAGTTTTCTTATAATTGAGTTTAAAGAAGAATAACTGACAAGAGATCAGAAACCATTCCTCCATTCAGAATCTCTCCAGATCCTTCAGATTCACAAGTTCATGTTGGTGTTTCTTCTCTTCAGTTCAGACCACTCATTTTCTATTGAGTTCAAGTCACTGGGACTGGGACGGTCATTGATTTTGATTGTCCTGAGGGAAGATCCAACCATGAGGTATTTCTAATCCCTGTTTCCTCTAAACACATCTGGTGGGTTTGCTGCTTTTTTGTTTCATCTGACTATAATCCAGTCCTTTTTGAAGTTCCACTCATGTGTGACAACTGAATATGCTGGAGATTCTTCTTGGAGGAGCGAGGAGGATTTTTTAAGAAACCCTCCAAAACAACATGGTGATGTAGGGGTTGCTTTAATTATTTATTTTTTTAGGCTTTCTGACTCCCAAGACTCAACTAATCTCAGCAAATCTGTGATCCTTGGAGAGACTTGGCCTCTCAAAGACAATATAGACACCTGTCCTCTTCCTGGCAGATTCATAACATATTTAGTTGATTGCAACTTCTTAAAGAGTTCACTTTAAAAAAAAAAAAACTTTTGCTGATCATTTACTCACCCCCGTGTCATCCAGGATGTCCATGTCATTCTTTCTTCAGTCGAAAAGAAATTAAGGTTTTTGATGAAAACATACCAGGATTTTCTCCATATAACGGACTTCATTGGGGACCAAACGGTTCAAGGTCCAAATGAGAGTTTCAGTGCAGCTTCAAAGGGCTTTAAACGACACCAGACGATGAATAAGGGTCTTATCAAGCAAAACGATCGCTCTTTTAAAAAATAAATAAAAAAGTTTAAGTTTTATAAGCACAAATGGTCGCCTTGCTCTGTTCTGTGATGAGCGTTCGCGACTAAACTCGTTCATCAAAATGAACAATTTTTTTTTCGAGTCATGACTCGAAAAGTCCTATGACAAGACCCTTATTCATCGTCTGGTGTCGTTTAAAGCCCTTTGAAGTTGCACTGAAACTCTCATTTGGACCTTGAACCGTTTAGTTCCCATTGAAGTCCACTATATGGAGAAAATCCTGAATTACCTTAATTTCTTTTCAACTGAAGAAAGAAAGACTTGGACATCTTGTATGACATGGGGGTGAGTAAATTATCAGCAAAAGTTGTTTTTTTTTTAAAAAGAGAACTACTCCTTTAAGTATTGGCCCTGATGTTGGAAATGGGGATTTTCAATGCTTTAGCTATTTTCTTATAGCCACTTTCTATTTTGTGATGCTCAACAATCTCTTGCTGCATATCAGAATTATATTCTTTGGTTTTACTTGTTAGAATGGATGATTAAGGGAATTTGGCCTTTGTGTTTCCTCATGTTTAAACTCCTGTGTGAACCAAGAAGTCAGACAAGTTCATGTCCCTCTCTAGTCACCCTGGTGTGCTCAATTGTTTTTTCAATATTGATGGGAATTATATTTTTCTTTTGTATTCTCTGTTGCATGTGTATCTGTATGTCTGTTTTTAATAAAATTCTTTCAGGATTTCATGCATTCTTTGGTAATGTTTAGTTTTACAATGCCACTAGCAACCACATTATTATAAATTTGTCATGCAGTGAAACCTTTACTAAATAACCACAATTTGTAGTTACAGAAATGTTTTCGTAAGTGCTGCAGATGTACTGACACGATGCTACAACATAAAAAGAAAAGAAATGAAAGAAAAGAGAAAAAATAAAATAAAAAAACACTGTGTTTCCTCACGATGACGGTGGTGTGATATAGCTTCATTGACCGGCTTTGATGTGCAACTGAATAGTTTGTATTTCACGATAACAATTTGTCATGTCTGGACCTCATTAGGTAACCAGTGGAAAACCTTCACACATGGTGGCCTTATTTTCAGACAAACCTGAACCTGTGTGAACAAACCTACTGAAACTATGTGCTGAAACTTTGAGACCTTATGAATCTGTATGTGATCTGAAGTCAACATATGCCTTCAAGACGGCTGGCTCTAGAACTTCATACCTATCAGACTTACAGTAAATCCTCAAGACTTTGAGAACTGGACTGATCTAATCTTTCCAAGCTGAATACCTACAGTCTTTAACATGGCAATGAAAGCACCTGTTTTGTGTTTTCCTGCACGTCTAACGAGACTAACCAGACAAATGCTATTGCTGTGGTTGCCAGGATGTTGCTGTTTTAGTAATTTGACAGTGATTTGCTGTTTTAGTAATTTGTCAGGGTGATCTCAGTGGATAAGGTGATTTGCATATTTTTGCCATTAAATTTAGCTCCTTCAGACTTTCACACATGTTTTGTCATATTGCTAATAAAAGTAACAGCATAACTCTATTCTTTTCTTAAACAGCACATCAAAATTAAGAGTTCAGATGCAAAAGCCTCTAAATGCCATTTGAAATTTTCTTCAAGAATGATCATTTTTATCAAGCTTGTATATTTAAGTTCAGTGATTTCACTTAAATGGCAATTATACCTAATTGTTATTTAAGTGAAATAACTGAACTTAAATATACAAGTTTGAAAAAAAAATCATCATTAAAGAAAAAAATATCAAATGGCATTTAGAGGCTTTTGCATCTGAACTCTTCATATATATATATATATATATATATACATATAACAAAACAAACTGGACCATATGATGTCAAAAGTCTAGCTAGACATCAGATACTTCCCAAGATATAAAAGTATATACTTTTCATTAAAGCAGATACTTTTTGAGTGCCCATGCCAGTGCAGACAGATTAATAGAAGGGCAGTACTATAGTTCAGTATACTGATGTAATGCTGAGCTAATAAACCTTTCTAGGAGAGAGAGCCATGATTCATAAACCCTTAAACCTTGAGTGCCATCATACTGGGATGTTTGCATCAAACAGACATCTGGAGGCCATAATGGCAAAATAACACTCTTCAAAGCGCCCTTGAAAGCAAATGGATAATTCTCATGAAATGTCAGAAGTGTGATTTTTTTTTATTTGTTAATTATTATGTAGCCTACACTATTTACAAGTTTGGGGACGGTATGATTTTTTAAAATCTCTTTATCTCTTGATCAAAAATACAGTAAAAACATGAAACTTTGGGAAATTTAATTACAATATAATATTCTTCTGATGCAAAGCTGAATTTACTACAGTCTTCAGTATCACATGCTCTTATTTTCATTACACTGTGATGTGTAGTTAAATACAGTATTTTGTTTAATACAGTATACAATTAGTGACAGAAATTCTGTCAAAGCAGTGAACCTCAATGTGTATGAGTGGTCCTTAAATAAAAGTTCAAAGGTCTCTGTTAAAAACTGTAATTGAATGTAAGCGACACTGAAGCATTGATTAGATGGCAGGCCTGCTCTCTGAAGTAAGCTTCTGTGCAATGTGTTTTCAATGCACCGTAAAGTCGAACCAGATGCTGATGTTATTCTTATTCCTAGCTTGAGAATGTCAAGTAAAGCCACGTACATGAACAATGAATGTGAATCTTTTCATTCTTTTATGATTTCTGACACAACAAAGATTAAATTGAAAACTTGAAGGGATCTAATGCACCACTGCATTGTGATCAAGTAGCCTATTGTTTTATTTGTAGCTTTTTGTGTTTACCCTCTCATCCTATTTATAAATGAATATTGCAGCCTGAAAACATCATATGTATAATGCATAAATAACAAATAAAAACTTATTTCATTAACTAATTAAGTTATGAATTAATCAAAAAGCTCAAACAAGCCAGTGGTGATGAAGAGAAGAACTATGTTGTTGCTGTTAGTTAAATGAAAGCACGATGACAGTACAATACAATGATGGTATCAGGTGGTAATACCCTGGTACATGGTAGAGCATAAATAAATAAAAGCTGTAAAACTTACATTGTAATCTTTTGTAGGATAGCACACAAACTCCACAGGTAAAACGCCCAATTCCCGCCATTTCCGAGCAAACAAACATTTCCGAACAATTTCTGGCTGAAATATATTTAATTAATATAACGGATGCTTTATTATTAGGTATGTTTGGGAGTAGTCAAAGAATGTTAGTAATGATAACTTAAAAATGATCAAAATCTATTTTCCAAAAGTGTTTTCATCGCTTTTACCATCAACGGAATGAATGTTCAGTCAGTTGTTGTTTCCAGTCGGGAACATTTCTCGTCGGACCACTCTGGCATGACCAACAAATTTAGCAATAAACGTTATACTGGTACTAGCATTCAAATAAACATATAAAAAATAAACATATAGTTATTTCAAAGCGCGTAACGTTACAATTCAAACGGAATATCTCTGTCACCTCTACGGCGTCCATACGCCATGCATTCAGAGTTTAAGTCGCTCTTTATTTTTACACACACCGCTGTTTGTTTTGGTTTCATTTCTGCTGAATATCACTCTGTTTAAAGATGGCTGGACTGGAGCTGCTCTTCAACTGCGTATCAAACTCTATAACCTGTTCTCAAGATGCTCTGATCTGTTTTGTACACTGGGAAATAGTGAAAAGTGGCTATAAATGTCTCGGCATTGGAGATGATGTAAGTGAATCATGACTGATGATAATCTGGTATAAAAACTAGCAGTATTGTGTCCTAACTGAAATTACGACACTTTTTCACACTTATTTTTTTATTCTGATTGTCAATGCATTATATAAATGGAATATCGAGCTAATAGGCATTTGCAGAAAATGCTTTACTGTTTTGTTTTGATGGCGCTCGGTGATATTTGCCTGGTTATAAAAGCTTGATTTTCCACACAGCCTAAAGATGGAGAGAAGTCGTCAGAACTGCTTCCACCCGGCTGGAATGAAAGCAATGAGCTGTATGCACTCAGATACAGATCAAACGATGACCGGTCAAACCTACTGCTCAAAGCCTTCACCGTGGATTCAACCCTGATCTTTAATTTAATGGTAATTCAATTGTATTATATGCAATGCATTTCGTCACAGATGACATTTTCAACACTCCTTCTTAATCTTTTGTAGGACTCCACAACAGAAAAAGTAACCGATCTCACAATTAACTGCAGTGAGTATGTTGATGAGGCCAATATGCAGACGTATGAAAGGTTTGTGAATTTATTTGGTTCAATGTTTAGGCGTCCATTACTCGTACATTACCGGTTAAAAGATTGAAACATTACTATTTTTAATGTTTTTAAGTCTTTTATGCTCGTCAAGCCTGCATTTATTTGAGCAAAAATACAGGAAAAAAAGGTAATATTGTGGAATATTATTACAATTTAAAATAATGGTTTTCTATTTTAATATACAGTACAATTTATTCCAGTGATGCAAAGCTGAATTTTCAGCATCATTACTCCAGTCTTCAGTGTCACATGATCCTTCAGAAATCATTCTAATATGCTGATTTGATACTCAGTTATTATTAACGTTGGAAACCATATTCCGGAGGGAGGGTTGATGTAAATGTATGGGTTAGTGACGTCTAAAACCTGGCTGTAGTTCTATTTGAGGCGTTTTTGTAGGCATTAAACTTCCTGATTTTTAAGAGACGATATCTCTGCTTACACTGAACTTTCAGCGCTGCAACTTTGCAGATACTGTTCATGCACCAACAGCAACATTACACACTATTTAAAATGAAAAAAGTGAAATCGCAATCAACCACCCCTTTAAATCAAATAAATGCAGGCTTTATGAGCATAAGAGACTTGCTACTCAATGCCAACATATCTGTGATAGTGGCAATATCAATTGAGTAATCAGTTTATATGCAAATGCATATGCATTTTCTAACGTATTAATTTTGCTTTCAGCGTGTTTAAGAACACAGATGAGTTGACCGCAAAGCTCAAATCCTCACTGCTGCCCACTAAAAAAGAGGAGCGTCAAGGAAAGACAGAGAGGAAGACAGACCGGGAAAGAGCTTCAAACTTAAGGGACCCTCACCGTGATCCGCTCCTGATCCCAACCAGAGGCCCTTCAAACCGACAGCCTCCTAACTGGTGAACCTTCATTCTCTCACTCTTGTTTTCATGCAATTTATACATCGGTTTTCAAGGGTATTACTTTCTAGAGGCCGTTTTCAGGTGCAGTCTGTGGAGATTTGTATAGCACAGTTATCCACCCGAGCAGCCAGCGGTTGCTATGGTTACCGCCTCCGGTGATCCTAACTCCGCAATCTGTTCAGGGAAAATATGCACTGTGTGGAAATGTCTCACTTTGAGCACACAAATACATGTGTCGTTTATTTTGGTATGAAAAACCACTAGCCCACAAAAGGCGCTGGCAAGCGTCTTACGTCATCATGCATACAGAACATTTAAAGGGACCACGATCCCTGAACAGTTATGAGGAAAAACGCTAAGAACAAAAAACTGCATTTATCAAAGAACTACATTTAACACAAAGTTGAATTATTTATGTCACAGTCACTACAACTGAATGTTTTTTTTTTTTAAATACACAGCTAAACTATGAAATAAGGACCTTATTTAGAGGGTCAGTCCCCTGTGTTTGTGTTTGCATGGCCTTTATCAGGTAACTCAAACTAAAACTATATGAAAACATTTTCATTACTTGAAAATAAATGTACTAAATTATTAGAAACTAAACAACTAAATTTTAAAAACTTGCCAAAGCAACATTTCCCATTTTCATTTAGTTTAACTTGGTGTACTAAAAAAAAAGTTAAATAAAACTGAATTCAAACTAATTAGATGCACACACAACAAAATGACTAAAAATGAATAATGCAATGATATGAAAAATGGAAAATATAAACATAGACTAGACACAGACTGTCACAACTTCCATTTCATCCCAACTTTACCTTGAATAGAAACTAGAATAACTCTAATTGATTTTAAATAGATCTCCCTGTAAATTTGCCTGCATTAATCTGTAAATGAGTGTGTTTTTGTGTGTGAAGGACGTTATGGTGTGCACTGGGACTTTGCGAGTGAGATTTGCAGTGTTGTGTAGCTGTCAGCTCATGTCCTCTGTCCTGTTTAATAATTCCCAGCGTGAGTCCTGCGAGATCTCTCACTGCTGTACTGTGTCTATTTTTGAAGCACTGAGTGTTGTTGGTTTTGTGTGTCTGGCACGGCAGACTGTGCGCTGAGAGACTAAGAGACTGAGGTGCGTCTCGATCAGCTCGCTAGTTCATGAGTCAGGGCACTGATCAAGAGGAAAATACTGGTTAGAGACTATGGAGTTGCGCAGTGGTGTTCGTAAGGTCATGGCAGAAACCCAGAGGTGGATTTCGGTGTTTGTCTTCCACTTCCCCTTCCTGGGTTCACGGTGACCCCTATCAGATTCTTTATGATGTCAGCGATTTATCGACTTGCTGTTGCTGTGGGCGTGATGTAATTCAGTCAAATGTGCTCTGCTGCCAGTGTCCTGTGTTCAAAACATTGACCTGAGTCACAGCCGATCCACATTCTGCAGATGGAGATTCACAGAGTAATCAAATAATCATCCACATACTGAACATGTATACATCAAACAACCATATGTTGTTAAAAAAAACTTGGAATTATACACATTTTACATTTATTTACTCAGCTTACACTTTTATCCAATGCGACTTGCTAGTCAGAGGTCATACGCCTCTGGAGCAACTAGGGGTTAAGCGTCTTGCTCAGGGACACATTGGTGTCTCACAGTGGATTCGAACCCAGGTCTCTCACACCAAAGGCATGTGTCTTATCCACTGCGCCATCACCACCCCTTTATATTTGGTTGTTATTTAATTCAGTGGCATTCAGGCATTTACAAAAAATACAATATACTGTGTGTAAAAAAAAAGAATATATATAAATATTATAGTTTGGGGTCTGTAAGATTTTTTTGAAGGAAATTAATACTTTTATTCAACAAAAAAATTATTAAATTGATTGAAAGTGACAGTAAAGACATTCATGGTGTTACAAAAGATTTATGTTTCAAGCAAATAACTTTATATTTAAAACAAAAATGTTATTAATCAAAGACTAAAAAATTAAATAAAAGTAGGATCATGTGACAATGGAATAATTTACATTTTCAAATTTATGAACTTGGGAAAAGTTATTGTAATAATATTTCAGAATATTGCTGTTTTTACTGTAACTTGATCAAATAAATGCAGCCTTGGTAGAAGAGGCTTCTTTCAGAAACATTTCAACATTTCGTTGCATACAATAGTATTGTTACTATTATGCAGTTATATATAACATTAATATACATCACATCGATATATATTCCATACAGTGTAACAGAATGCCTCTGAAATGTGTTGTTTTTTAGGCCTGACCCGATGGCTCCTTTTGCTGCAGGTGGTGCCGATCTGGATCCCTTCGGGTGAGAAATCCTATCACTTATTTGCCTAAACGCTCGTCTGTAAATGCATGTTGACCTGTAGATTACAGATACAGAATCTTTCTTAGGGGGTTTTTCACACTGGTCATGTTTGCCACGATCCGAACCCGATTGTGTTTGTTTCAGGCGCTCCTTATAGACTCTGGTTTCACACATTTGATTCTACCGAATCCCTTTACATCTTACGTCATCACAAACATGCATGATCGACGACAGAATCCGGTCAATATATTGTGATTTTTGTTGGATTCATTAATTTAAACACAGCAGTGAATGTATGGAACTGCTTTCGGACACCTTTGCTCCTTATGCTCAAGGGTCCATATGACAGCTTTCACATAATTTTTCATGCGAACTAAACTAAACCGCCAGTGTGAAAGCACTCTGAGATGTGAACAATGTCATTTTTGGACCACCCTTATGTATAATAAAACAGATGGAGAAAGTAGTTTGGATAGAAGGCATCACAGAACATTTAAGAATGAAGATGAATGAGTGCACCTTCAAGGAACGACCTTGCTCGCTGAATTATTAATAGGTCTGTCTTGGTTCTTTCTCCAGGGGAAGGGCAGGAGGAATGATCGTCGATCCATTACGTGCCGGGTTTCCTCGCTCAGGGTTTGACCCCTCCTCTGGTATTCCCGGAGTCCTCCCTCCGGGCGCTGTGCCTCCTGGTGCCCGCTTTGACCCCTTCGGGCCGGTTGGGCGACACAGACCCGGGTAAGAGCGTTAATGGGATCTTTATTGCTGCCAATGATCTGAGTTTAGCTGTAAAACTGCACTTAACTCATCTTACATCATATCCTCACCTCTAATGCCTTTCGTTTGGCTTTCTCTTTCAGGCCAGACCCTGATCACATGCCTCCACCAGGCTATGATGACATGTTCATGTAGAATAAGGAGGACGCACTTATGCAACATATCATAACTCTCACTGCTCTGCAGTCTTATGCACTTTCTCTTTGAATAAACTGTTGTGAAACAGAATTCCTTAAAAAAATAGCACAATTGTTTTCATTTTGATATTGATAAAAATAATTCATTTGTTTCCTCTGTTATCCTGCATTGGTAAATTAAACTGCTTTTATTCTGTCCCATTTCTCTGATGTGATTGATCTCTTTCGGATAATAAATGTATATATACAAGCATTTCACACACAAACTGTCTGTCCTCCTACTGTCCTAACTAAATAAAAATATCTAAATTTAAAAAAAAGTAAAAATATACTTCAACCAATGTCATCTGAAAAGTTACAACTTGTGCGAGGGCTTTTCTCACACATACAACTGCATTGACCTTGCTCACGTCTCTTTAAAGTATCAATAGATGAATGGAAAGCTTCTGAGACGCTTGATTCAGTGAGAGGAACATGAAGAAGCAGATGTAGTGGAAATCAATGCCTGTAATGGCCACAGTGAGTCACGATGTCCGCAATGTCAGTGTGACTGTCCTTTACTGCCAGAGATAAAGACACTCGAGTGTCCTCTAGGCATGACTGCACTAAAATAGTGGATATCTCTGAGACAATTAAGTGCTAATTTGTTAAGGGAATCTAGAAGCTCAGCTGTTAGTCACAATAGAGTAAAAATACTTCTGTGCTTCACATTTAATGTGAAAATGAGTTCCACAAAGTGTCCAAGCATTTTTAAACATCAAATAAAGCAATCAAGTCTCTTCAGAAATATGGATTATGGATCTCTTTATGAACTTTTTGAACCATCATAGTGGCATATCTGTCAACAGAGGGAGAGAAAGCTTTCATTAAAAATATTTTCATTTGTGTTCTGAAGATGAAAGAAAGTCTTATGGGTTTGGAAAGACATGAAGGTGAGTAATTAATAACAGAATTTTCATTTTTGGGTGAAATAACGCTTTAACTCTGATCATTGGTATGTTTTATCTTACCTCAAGGGCATCCAAGATGTAGGTGTCTTAGTTTGTATCCACAGTATTTTCAATTTTGATATTTTTAGGTCAAACCGTTCTTGTCTGTCAGTCATATAATGGAGGTCTATGGTCACAACCTCAAAGAGCATGCAAATTAAACATGATTTAATGACTCGTAAATGTAAGTACACATTTATGGTCTAAGACACGAAACGAGCGGTTTGTGTGAGAAAACGAACAGTATTTATATCGTTTTTACCTCTTGTTAACCACAGCCATGTCCAAGTGATCTGCGGGTGCGTTGTGACAAACCGCTCGTTTCGTGTCTTATGCCATCAATGTGTACTTACATTTATGAGTCATTAAATCATGTTTAATTTTGACTTCTCTGTGCATGCTCTTTGAGGTGGTGACCATAGACCTCCATTATATGACTGACAGACAAAAACGGTTTGACCTAAAAATATCAAAATTGAAAATACTGCGGAAACAAAGACACCTACATCTTGGATGCTCTTGAGGGAAGCTAAAACATACCAAAAATGTAATTCAAAGTGAACTACCTCTTTAACAAACCGCTTAAAAATGAACTTTTTAATCAAATAAATGGGTCTTTTGTATTGTTGTGCAATGATATTCAAACACATTAATACACTTGTCCCACGCATTCTTTAAAGTTCCTCGGCGTTCCATGATCAATTCAGTCAGACAGGTATAGCAACAAAAAAGATTTATTTCACGCATGGAAACAGTATAAAAAGGTGTGACACATTTGCCTTGAACACACATGAAGTGGTAACAGACTTAAAATGCACAGCTGACATTGAACACATGCAATACAAACACCCCCGCTCTCCACATTAAAAAAACAGAGTGATTGGCCCAAAGTACCGTGGTACTGCATTTCATTTGAATATATAACAGTCTGTTTGGTTCACACAAGTATTATACACATCATTAAGCCTCTGCGGTGTTAGAAAGCTGCGTTTGTAATTCTCAAGGATTTCTACGAACTCTTTCTAGCCAGATTGTACAACAGTGATCATTATGAGCAGCTGCTTCTATACAAGCCCCATTATTGTGCTCATTTTTTGTATGCATGAAATACACGAATGACCTGTTACATTTGATCAAATGTGCGGTACACAATTGTATTGAAGTCATCACATTTATTCAGGAATTATTAATGCTACTCGCTGAATATAGCATGCAATATGGTGAGGCTGTTTATTTAAGTACACTACCGTTCAAAAATGTGGGATCGGTGTAATATTAATATGTTTTTGAAAGAAGTCTCTTATGCTCATCAAAGATGCATTTATTTGATCTAAATACCGTGAAATAATAAAATAACTGTTTTCTATGTTAATATATTTTTTATATTTTCAGCATCATTACTCCAGTCTTCAGTGTCACATGATCCTTCAGAAATCTGATTTGCTGCTCAAGAAACATTTCTGATTAAATTTTTGTGGAAACCATGATTCATTGTTTCAGGATTCTGTGAATGAACAGTGTTTATTTAAAAATGATTTTGTAACAAATGTCTCTTTTGATCAATTGAATGCATCTATGCTGAATAAAACTATTCTGATGGCCAACATTTAAACAATAGTGTAACTTAAGTATACTAGTATTCCACTCTCAATAGAGTCAATGTGACTTGCTCAGTTCTTTAAAAAGTGTTACAACATTTCATTTGAATGACATTCACATTCATTTAGGGGCTTGTGCATGAGCAATGTGATCAACAGCACAGTTCTGGTGCAAGATAAATGCTTAGTGTGCTCGATATTAGATCCTCTGTGCTTACAAGACAATATTTTACACAACTGAAGACATGAAAACAATTTACCACTTGTCCTTTCTCCTTATAACTTTACATCACATCATAACCAACATCTTACAGGTACATGACAGATATATTTACTATAATTTAGTGTTGCAATGAGAAACATGATGGCGTCAAAGAAAGATTACAACAAGTCCATTTCAGCATTTAAACAGCACTTAAGTTAGTGATGCATCAAGCAGCATGTGAACGCATCACACTTACACACCACCATTATACAACATTATACAGTCGATTTCAAACCATCTTTAGACATAGTAAATATATTGTGTAAAGAATATTTAATACACTGGAATGTGAGATAAATTATGTGTGTGACAATACTCTCTCTGATACAATGTGCTCTCATTAACCATTTGATTTACATTGACAAACTTTTGTTGAAATGTTTCTTTGTGTTTTCAATATCCTACAGTGACTCGCATTCTATTAGTATTTTATAGAGAGTATGTATTTTGGATGCCTTACACCAGGAAATATATAATTGCAGGCCAGGGTGATCTTTACTACATCTAAGACTTGTAAGACATCAGCTCTTCTTAGGTTTCTGCTTAGTTTTGATTACAATCTCTGAATAGTGTACTTATAGAAAATAGTTGTTCAGCAGTAAAAACAAAACCAAGGTGCAGGCAGCTTCTTTAGGGATCAAGTACACACAAATGTCAAATGTAACCTGCTTATGTGCAGTTAGACTAACTTTTTTTAAATGGGGTGATGAGCATATTCTTAAAGTGCCCTTATTATGCTAATTTAATGGTTTCTAATTTTGGAGGTCTCCTACATTAGGTTAACATGTATCCAAGGTAAATATGCAGATTAATATGCATTTCAGCATCACCTTTTTTCCCCACAGTGACTGAAAAAGTTTGATAAAGGATTTGGTCTCTATAAACCCCGCCCAGGGCACTACTCTGCTCTGATTGGTCAGATGGCCCAGGCTGTGATTGGTGTACCACTTAAAAAAAATCTTATGCTGATAATTTACTCACCCCCATGTCATCCAATATGTCCATGTCATTCTTTCTTCAGTTTAAAAGAAATTAAGGTTTTTCATGAAAACATTCCAGGATTTTTTTTTTCATTGGGTATCAAATGGTTCAAGGTCCAAATGAGAGTTTCATTGCAGCTTCAAAGGGCTTTAAACGACACCAGACGATGAATAAGGGTCTTATTCAGCATGAATAACAAAGTTTAAGTTTTATAATCACAAATGCTCGCCTTGCTCTGTTCTGTGATGTGACTTGAGTCATTTGGTTCATTCAATGAATGAAATGACTCGAAAAAAGATAAGTTCATTTTGATGAACGAGTTCGAACAGGAGAGTCACACAGAAAAGAGCAAGGCGAGCATTTGTGCTTATAAAACTTAAACTTTTTAATTTATTTTTGAAATGAGCGATCGTTTCGCTAGATAAGACCCTTATTCATCGTCTGGTGTCGTTTAAAGCCCTTTGAAGCTGCACTGAAACTCTCATTTGCACCTTGAACCGTTTGGTTCCCATTGAAGTCCATTATATGGAGAAAAATCCTGGAATGTTTTCATCAAAAACCTTAATTTCTTTTCGACTGAAGAAAGAAAGACATGGACATCTTGGATGACATGGGGGTGAGTAAATTGTACGTTTTTTTAAAGTGAACTACTCCTTTAAAGACTGTGTCGGAAACAAAACAACCATTACCATATATCTGTGTCAGTTCAAAATTGATTCTTTTTTTTAGGAGACAATAACTCTGATCTTTAAAACTTCACAGAACCTTTACATTCACAAACAGCTGAATTACACACCACATGAAACAAGGTACAATCTGAAAAAGCATAATTGGGGCACTTTAAAGCATACAGTATATCTGTTGTGTCACTGAGAAGACAACAACGTTGTCATACACATATATAAATCTCTACTGGAATCTATGCATATTGCACCATTACAGTAAAACTTCACATTTTTGTTAATTGTTAGCACAAATCTACTAAAGTACCATAATGATAGATATTGTAAAATAGATATCTTGTTTAAAACATTAAGCATTCATATGTCTCTTCCCTTGGGTGGGGTACATTGTCCTCTACACCAAGAACGTGGATTGATGACAACGAGCACGTGTGTGACACATACAAAACACCAACAGTAGACAAATACAAACAAGCCAATGTTTGTGTTCACGGTGAACATTTGTAACGTCTTAAGGCATATTGCATCCTTGGATAATAATAGCTTGTATATATTCCACTCATAGTGTCTTTAGTGATGTTATAGATTATACAGACATTTATTTCAAGTTTTGTAAAGTAGCAGATGGCGGTTTGTTCTGCAGCATGTTACGTTATTATGAAGCTTCACCATTGTGCTTTCATTC